AGTTAAACAGTTCTTAAAGTCTTCTCTGCTGTGGAAACGGCTGCAGGCTCCTTGGTGCTCTTGCCGGAGGGGCCTCAATGGAGAAGCAGATGACGTCACTCTTTCAGATGGGTTCCCTTTCAGTTTTAGTCTTGGAGTGGGGTTTGTCCTGAAGGGACTTTGTGGTTTAGTTTAACAAATTAGTCTATCTCCTGTAAGCTGTTAAGAGGATTGATTAGCTGAATATATTAATTTTCAAGAATATTGAAAAGATATACTGCATATTTTCCTATTGCTATCTTTCTCTCTTTTTATGCTTTAGGATTGGTCAGTGGATTTAGCTGTTTCAGAGTACAGCTGACCCTTGAACAACAGGTTTGAACTGTGGGGTCCATTTATGCATGGATTTTTTTACCTGCTGCTATTGTGATGGCCTTAATTGTTGCATGTATCTGCTTAAAGCGCCATGTGATTCTAATCATATCCAAGTGAGTAGTTCATCGAAGATTAGTGTCACACAGCACTTTAAGCAGTTACTTGTAACACTTTAACTCACTGCAGAAGCAGGAGATGAAAAAAAAAAATCCATGTATAAATGGGCCCGCACAATTCAAACCATGCTGTTCAAAGATCAACCGCAGATTATATGTGAATTTGCTACTGGGAGTGAGGTCGGTGTCCCTTACCTCCATGCTGTTCTAGGGTCAACTGTATTGTCAAACTTTGAAGTTTAACATTTTTGTATTTACTCAATACCTTTTTTTTTAATCTTTCAGACTTGCCTGTTTGTAGCCTTTACTCATTTTTTCTGTTGGTTTGTTGGTTTTGTTTTTTTTTTTCTTCTTCAACTCTCTCATTTAAAAAATTAAATTTTTTTTTTAATTTAAAAAATTTAAACATAGAACAATTATGTAGATGGTATAGGACTAGGCAGTGTTTAGGTCTGTTTTACATAGGATCACAGTTGGAGCCAACTAAATGACATTTAATAACAATTATCCATAAACTATTACTGTGTTTGATTAAGTAATATTCTCTGTAGATTACCTGCTAGGAATATTCTGTATTATTATATTACCTTTCCAAAATAGTCCTCATGGTGTAGTGGGTTAGGCATTGGGCTGTTAACTGCAAGGTCAACAGTTCCAATCGACCAGCTGCTCTGTAGGAGAAAAATGAGTCTTTCTGCTCCTGTAAACCCTATACAGGGTTACTGTGAGTTACAACTGACTTGACAGCACGAAACTACCACCACGACCATGTTTCAAAAGTCCAAAATAATTTTGAATTCTGAAATACATTTGGCCTAAAAATTTTTAAGAAGGGATTCTGGACCTTTACAACCACTTTAGAAGAAAATTTGAGATTATTTTGTAAAGTTGAAATAGGCATACTTAACAGCACAGCAACTCTACTTAGACAATACACTCTAGAACAACTCATTACATCTTTCCATCAGTAGACGTGTACTATGAAGATTTAATGACATACAACATTCTTTGCAATAGTGAACAGTTGGAAACCATATAAATTATCATCATCATTAAAATAATTATGGTTTATTCATATACTAAAATAGTATGTAAGTTATACTGAATTAGACAGAGTTCTAAGTATCAAAAAAGGAGCACTGGTAGCACTATAGGATAAGCAATGGATGCTACTTGAAAGGTTAACAGGTCAAGCCCACCAGCTGTTCTTCAGGACAAAGATGAGGCTTTCTGCTCCTGTAAAGATTTACAGCCTCAGAAACCTGATATCGAGTTGCTATGAGTTAGAATCAACTCAACTGCACTGGGTTTTATAAGTATATTAAATACATTGTATTGAATTGGGCAACTCTGCTGCAAAAGACCTTTTTAAAGTGCTTAAGAGCCAAGATGTCACTTTGAGGACTAAGGGTCACCTGGCCAAGGCAAGGTATGTTTAATCACCTAATATGCATGGGAAAGCTGGGCAATAAATAAGGAAGACCAAATATTGGAAAAATTTGTCTTGGAAAAAGTACAGCCAGAATGTTCTTTATAAGTGAACATATAAAACTTATCTTAGGTACTCTGGACTTGTTATCAGGAGGAAAAAGCTCCTGGAGAAGGACATCATGCTTGGTAAAGTAGAGGATTCAAGAAAAAGAGGAAGACTCTCAATGAGATTGATTTACACTGAATGCAACAACAGGCAGTGATTGGGAGGATGGTGCAGGACCAAGCAGTATTTTATTCTATTGTACATATCATCACTGAGTTGGAACTGACTTGAGGGTACCTAATAACATGAGGCTTTCTGGGCAAAAGAACTATTGAATTACTAAATGAAGTCCATTTAAAATTTAAGTAGAATCTATCCCCAAATTTTCTTGCCATTTGTTAAAATAGCAAAAAAAAAAAAAAAAAGGTTGACAACTGATCCTGCAAGGGTATGAAATTCTTTTAGGGAGTTCTAGACTTAGTTCTTGCTTGGTATAGGCAACAGGGCAATGTGATGCAGTGTTTCCATTTTATAGAAAGCAGTTTAGGAACCAAAGAACCCCCATAAGTTACATGGTTAAAAACAGTAACACAAACATATATTGATCCTACAAAGGGTGGCTCTCTAGGGATTTCCTGAAACTTTACTGCCTTAATGAACATTAGCTAAATTTCTGAGATTATATAACAAGATTCTAGATAATAACTCTAGATAGTATATAAATTCTATATGGTAACTCCAGAGTTAAAAGCTGTACTGTTGCTAACGGTGAAGTCAGTTTTGACTCATGGTGACCCTGGACAGGGTTTCCAAGGAGCAGCTATTGATTGGGTTTGAACTGCCAACTTTGTGGTTGGCAGTCAATGCTTATCCTACTGCAGAATACAAGAACTCCAAAAGCTATATATTAGACACAAATTTTTCTCACAAGACAATTAAGAAAGGATGAGAGAATATCTACTTGGAGAAAAAACTCAAGAGTATATAT